ACAGAATTCTACACTGCGATAACAGAAACATTGTAGAATTCTGTGCCGTGAACAAACGTTCCATCACAACTGTAGCCTAGCCTACTAAAAGCGTACAATTTTGTCTGTGGGCAGTGGAGAGAGAGAAAGACAGAGAGAGAGGAGTAGCGCGAGAACTTCCGGTCAAAACAAAATGGCGACCCGCGTAGTTCGGCTCGATTCGAAAAGTTAAATAGCTGTAGCATCTTTGTAGACAACCAAATTTATTTACTTTTGTGTTTTGACATCATTTTTTAACTTTGTTTTGGTCAATTTGATCGTCCACACCGATAGACAGTATTCAGAAAGAGACAGAGAGAGAGAGATAGGGGAGGAGTAGATCTTGCGAGAACTTCCGGGCAAAACAAAATGGCGACCCGCGTAGTTCGGCTCGATTTGAACAGTGAAATAGCCATAGCATCTTTGAAGACGATCAAATTAGCTTACTTTTGTGCTATAACGTAATTTTTTATTGGCTTTTATCAATTGGATCATCCACACCGATAGACAGTATTCCAAAATGAGGAAAAGCAGGTCTTGTTTCGCACCGGGTGAGAATAGCCTACGCTGGCAATTCTCACCCGGGGTGAGAGGTAGATCGTTTTTCTATTCTCACCCCGGATGAGAATAGCCACTGTGCTAGATCTAGTAGAAAATAGACAACTGGTAGCTGAGTGTGAGACGGGAGGGAAAGTAAAAAAATACCAAGGAATTTAGTCGGTTACAGTGTTAATCATAAATGTTAGTTTACTTCTGGGTAAGTGGTTTTGTTGAAATTATTTATAATTTAGTTGGCACTGTTTCGGTAGTTCCCACCCCGCAATTGTTATTCGCTGGTTTTGGCCCCAAGAGTAGGGGGGTTTCAGGTTGCCCCCCTGACCTAATAAAAATATTGGGGGGGGGTTCAGGGGGGCATGCCCCCTGAAATTTACCATAATTTGATGTTTAGCACCGTCTTTATTCGGTCTCGAGTCCGAAAAACATTTTTTCATATTTGGACTCGTCTGAATAAAAAAGGTCCAGAAAAAGGAAGTGTCTTCGTTCTATAGTCTATAGATCTAGATATCTAGATCTAACGCTCAGTGCTTCCAATTTTCTGCCATTTTTTTTAGTTTCCCCCACACCTTGTCTTGTCTGCCGATCCGATGCCCGCCGCCTCATTGATACACCCCCCACCCCCATGTTTCCCAGTTTCTTTGTTGTAGAAAAAGTGTAAAATTGAAGATTAGCAGACCACCTGGCACTAAAATCTGTTGCAAATGAGATCTAACTAGAAGATCTTTAGCCTAGCTTTCCATCTATCTCTATTATTTTTGTGACTTTAGCTTAGCAGGCACCCCCTATCTATCTACCCCCTCTTTCCCCCCCCCCCTTTCTACCGGAGTAGATCTAGTGGTGGTCGGCTTATGTTCAAAGAGGCCTAGAAAAACTAGATCTCTACATCTTGATCTATGTCGAGTTGCCTTTCCTGAAACAGTGTGGCGAATATGTAGCTTAACCCTCATCCTGCGGGGGCCGGGTTTATGTCGCCCGATAAGCCTTTTCGGCACCTTGCCTTCGTTCTGGTCCCGAATCAGTGTAGCCCCTGGCTCAGCGCACGCGCACCGCACTTCATCTTACGTGAAATTCGGGTTCCGAGTCAGATCCCCATTCATGTAGGTCAAGTGTGTGTGCATCAGTCTGCTTGAGTTTGTGTGCGTTTGTGGCCTTCTTCTTGAACCGCCTGCGTTGGTTCCTAATCGAGGCATACGTCTCGTTCAAAACACGCCAAGTTCGTAGCTTTTGATGTTCGTCCATGAAATTATAGAAGAAATTGACTCACTTAGACATGAGGAGCTCGAAAGGATTGTCAGGAAACAAGACTTCCATTTTTCAGCGCTTTTTCGGTAGTTCCCACCCCCCTTATTTGAGCCTAGATCTAGATTCTATATCCTAGATCTAGATCTAGATTCTATATCCTAGATCTAGATCTAGATCTCTATACGTTGCCTTGATCCATGGCAAGCAAAGCTAACAACTGCAAAACATCAAATTAAAATTATGGTAAAATTCAGGGGTGCATGCCCCCCTGAAACCCCCCCACCATATTTTTGCCCCCCAGAAACCCCCTTCTCTTGGGGTCAAGACCGGCGAATAACAATTGCGGGGTGGGCAGGGTTTCTGCGGCCTCCTTGAATTCAAGGAGTCATTGAAAACTGCTTGAATTTGCATTCAAGGAAAAATCTCCTTGAAAACTCCTTGAATTTACTTACATTCAAGAAAAAATGTCCTTGAAAACCCCCTTGAATTTTGCCAGATTCGGACAGGAACACATGTTGACTGCCAGGCCCCGGGAATCCCGGGGGCCCCTGAGTTAATTTTTGCCGGTTGCGATTGTGATAGAATATTAATTCGGCTTTTCCGGGCCCCAGAGTATGTTACCCACGCACAGGCGGTTATGGCGTCAACTAGTGGAAGTGTATATGTGCGATACCGAAGCTCGATCAGGAAAATCAAGATCTGCTTTCGCTACCGCCCAGAAATTTGCCTGTTGGGCCTAGTAGTCTGATAACGCCACTTTTGTAACATGCAGGTTCTGCGTTACAAACACGGTGTCGTCATGAAAATAAATCATTTGTCCTGTGCTGTCACTTGTGAAAAGAAAAGAAAGAAAAAAAATTATACAAGAAGCTTCTTGTCGGGCTCGCCATCGTGACCGCTCATTGAACCTGTGCGTTGTCGTCACATCGTGAGTATCACGATGGTTGAGGTCACCAAAGTTCATGCAAAGTCTGAGCGCTGCGAAGTATAGGACTTGGGAATGTGGGTATTATTGATTTTTTTTTTTAAGACGCACGCGGGGATGGGGTTGAAGTCAACACCGGATGACAAAAACTGAACTTGGAAGCAGATTTTACTTTACTAAATTTTAATTGCTATTAGTTATTAGATCTAAATCTAGATCTTGATCTCTCTGCAAAGCGTGCGTTGGTGCAGGCCTTGTGTAGAATCAGGATCTGTCTCACTCAAACCTTGTAAGCTGTAGTTTCTTTAACTAAAGGTATTGGGTTCCCGTTTCATTGGGCATGTGGTAGTAAATTATATGTATTGAACTATATTCTATATTTTAGCTTTCTGTTCAAGATTCGCAGATTTTCAGTGTCACTGCATCTTGCCCTCCCACAATTAGTTCTTACACCTCTCACACTGAACAGGTCTACTTGAGCCATTCATGTTATTACACTACTTTGAGTTTGAGCTATAATTTATGTCTTTCACGTTTATTATAAAACTTGGTTCCCAAACTGGTTCTGGACGGTCGATATTCTGGTTCTTTACCTTTTCTCAGGCTCAAAGCAAGATTCATTTTTATATAGTTTATATAGGCGAATATCATGAGAGGAAAATATAAAAATAGGTATAAGAACGGACTGAAATACCTAAGTCACACCACATCCCAGTGCCTACACTGACATGTTGTTGACTGGATATAATGTACCTACATGTGTGTGTGTGTGTGTATATAATATGAAATATAAATGGAGCATGCACTATCATTGTTATGTAACATGCCCCTGGGGAATGGATGAGCCCATCTGGAAAATTGAAAAGCCGGGTTGGCAGTCACCCTGAGAACAGTTTTTGTTGGAAATCGGAACTATGATACAATTCCTTTCCGACAAATGTAGGCCTATCGAAATATTGGCTTTTTTCGTGAATTTCTTTACCAAACCTTGAATTTTAAAAATTTCTCCTTGAAACATCCTTGAATTTGATGGGAAGTTCATGGCAGGAACCCTGATATATATATTTCAAGCCCCAGTTACACGCAACAGTAAATTGTACATGTATCACCGTAACGAAGACATCCTGTCTGAAATCTCATCAAAACTTCAGTCAGACACTGCTCAGCTTGATCGAGTCAGTTTGGCACCCACCGGTCCAGTGTGCCCAGTACCCATGGCCATTGAGCGTGAGCAATCCCGCGCAAAATATCGCGTTTCCGTTTTCGTCAAAACTTGTTGTTTCGTGCAAATAGGCCCCGGCCAAGGCCAAGGTTGTGGGAGCTTGGTATTGTACGGATAACTAGTGGCAGTTATTCGTACAACAATATTGTGCGGATAACCAGATAGTTTTTCACACAATGGTACGAATAAACACTCCGAATTCATATTGAAGGCCTCTCATCTGAGGTGAGGGGGCGATCAAGTATATTGACTTGTGATCTTAATTAAGACAAGAAAATTACTGTCAGAAAGAAACTCCTTTGCAAATTTATTGTCTAGATCTAGAGAAATTATCAATGCGAAGATTCTACGGCACGGGAACACGATAAGGGCCGCGATGAAAGAAATGTGTGCCAAAACTACTAAAGTCAAGAATAGTTCGAAGTGGTGTTCAGAGGTTGTGACATACGACATTCAGACATGAAATTTGAGGAAAATTAGGGTTTACGCTGGGTAACTGTATTGTAAAGGTACATATCTATTCATAACAGTATTACTCCCAGGTTTGCCTTCTATCAATGGTGCGATGACAAATTAATTGAATTATAGTAGCAATGGAAGGGGAACCTGCTTTTAACCATTGCCAGCAATGGAAAGATATTTTGGTGAAGAAATCAAACAAGACAAAATCTTGGTGAAAAAAATAGGTAGTATGAGTTGTTGACAATCTCTTCAAACAGGCTCCCAAATGCCATTTTCAACCCTCTAAAAGTACTAAATTTAAATTTCTTCGGGGGCTTCGCCCCCTGAATCCTCACCGGGGCGCTGTCCCTGGACCCCCGGCAGAATTTTCTTTACTTTTCAGTTTCAGCTAGTGTAAGCACTGTATACAGCTTGTTTTCTCTATTTTTTAAATTTATTTTTTAAAAATTTGATGATTGTTTTACAGCGCTTGACCATTTGCTTGACTATGCTTGTGATGGAAATTAAAGTTGGGGTCCTGCCTTCATTGAACCTATAATTAATATAGAATTAAAAAGGGGTGTTGAAAATTGAAACAAACTATTTTTTAATGAAGTTGGTTGGATGATGTGTGCTCTTGTGGACTATTGTCTATGCTCCTTCTGCTACTCCCAGTGTTGCTTTTGGTTTCTTGTGAAATGCAATTAATGTTTCTGACAAAGTCTAAACTTCAAGGAACGAATTTCTCATCTCTTTTGTTCTTTGTATTGTGTTACAGGGCAGTAGTTCCCTTGTGTTCCACATCGAGTGTCCGGAGGCCGTGTGCCGCGTCAAGCGTAAGTTCAACTTCAACGCAGAGCCACCGTGGGATCCCAGCTAGTATTTGCTAAGGGCAGACGTTTCTTGGCCAGGTAAGACATTGTTGTGGACCTTATTGTCATGTTATATGAGCTCACCCTTGGCTGACTTAGATTAGCCTCTTTTTCTAAGAGTTAGTCTGAGCCAGTCTTCAGACCCATGTGTCTATAGCTATGAAAGTTGAAAGTCAAAGCAGTCTTGAGATTAGAACCTAAAAACATTTGAAAATTGTGACACATCATCATACAGGGTCAGTATATATCGGGCGGAAGAAATGGACATATCTAGAGTGTGTCCTGTGAATACAACCTGAAACATTTGCAGCTTACAGCTACCTATGCCTTCATGCAACAATTGTTTTTGTTTTTTGGTTAGTGCTTTCTGTTGACCTGCCTCTCTTGTGGCTTTTGTTTTGGATATCAGACATGACAATTTAATATATTCTGAATAGACTACTACTTTTTTCTTATTATGGTCAGTCCTGCTTTAGAAAATGCACATCCATCTTTAGTTCACTGGGATTTCTTTTACCTAGTGGTTTTAGAGGTTGGGCTTATGAGACTGGTTTAGGCAAGAGAGGGGAGACTTGTTGAGGCCTGGCTGTTTTCTTATAGTGGTAATGATACTGCATACACATGTTCCACTGACAACTGAAATTATAATTTCTTGAAAGAGCAGACAGGTTCAGAAATTTTATTTGTAAAGTTGTGGGAAACCACAAGGAATAATGAAAACTTCCACTAAAAACCCATTTCTTTCTCTTGTGTTTCAGACTGTTTGTACAACCCTGATTTGTGTTAAAGTTTGTTTGTGCAAGACCTTCTGAGTGTTTGATCATGAAGACCAGTCCCCAGAACGAGAGTTGTGTCGAGACCCTGGCCGACGCGCCGAACGTGGCCGCTCTGGTGAAGGAAAAGATTGAGGAACTGGATGCCCAAGTGAGTAGGGACAGAACAAGAACAATGGCCTGCAGAGAGGGTGTAGTGTTTTTTTCTGGGTTTCATAGTTATAAAGATTTCACATTTGAACCTGTGCTGCACTAACGGTGAAACATTGGATTTGAACTCTGTCTTGCTGATCTCGTGTGTTGTATCCATTCTCTCTTTTGGGAATTGCAGTGTATGTACCAATAATGCCTGAATGAACTAAAAGGGTCTTTCTTTGACCTGTTGTTTGGGGGTGTTAATGACTGAAAAGACAGAAAATGTTCTCTTTCCTGTGCAGCAACACTTTTAGTCTGTTTTGGATTCTGTTCATTATTGTTTGCTTTTTGAGAGCTACTTTCCATAAACAAAGTTTGGTGATTGAAAGTAAGATTCAGTGTAGCTGGTGAGAAGAACCATTGGTGTACTTGAGAAGTCTGACATGAGATTCTGGCATAGGATATTCATTTTATATTATGTCTTGGTGAAAGTTAAAGATGTTCACAGGCAATTGGTGTTTAGTGTATGATTAGATTGTATTGTTTGAGACTCATTTAGATTGTGGTGATAGAGAAATGAAATGTATAGATAAGGAGTGAGTTCTTAACACAATATTTCGTATTGTTCAAACGGGAGGGGGGG